TCACAATTTTCTATAATTCATCTGACCCTAACTACGGTTTTGAAATATTTATCATCCCTCCAAATTTTGTCAGAAGCCTTTTAGTAATTGCCACATCAATTTATAATGAGTTGGGACTATTGTTGGCATCTACCTTGATGCGATTGGGATGTTTGATAGAAATGCGTTGTTGGAGGACATTTGTCTTCCTGTCCACCTTCCATGAGTTCTGTGAGGCCCATTTTCTTTGACCCTTGATATTTGTAGGCATTCCAGAGTCTTTGGAATCATGGATTAATGTTGCCTGTCTATATTCATCCTTTATGTGGTTGGCCTTTCACTTATCCTCAGCTCCTACAGAGAGTCACGGCTCTATCCCTACTTGAGTGTCTCGATCCCTGACATTTGCCCCTCAATTTATTGGGACCCAGAATAGTTTCCACACATATCAAAGAAGCTCCTCTGCTTAATCGAAATGCTGCCACTGGCAGCGATGACTAACCTATACAGGTGAGGTTTGTGGGGGCTCGACTTTGACATTTTCTGGACATATGGAACACCTTTACAACAGATCCATGGGTGCTACAGGTTCTTGCATTGGGATTGGTCATTCAGTTCACATCTTTACCACTGTTATTCACCCCACCTATTGTGTTTCCACCTCCAACAGATCCATGGGTGCTACAGGTTCTTGCATTAGGATTGATCATTCAGTTCACATCTTTACCACTGTTATTCACTCCACCTATTGTGTTTCCACCTCCAACAGATCCATGGGTGCTACAGGTTCTTGCATTGGGATTGGTCATTCAGTTCACATCTTTACCACTGTTATTCACCCCACCTATTGTGTTTCCACCTCCAACAGATCTTCATATTCTGGAACTTCCTTCCAGGGCTATCAGAGAATTGTTGGTCAAGGGGGCAGTAGAGAGGGTTGACCCAGTTTTTCTAGGGTTTTATTCCCATCTGTTTGTTGTACCCAAGAAGACAGGAAATAGGTATCTGGTCATAATGTTTCTCACCTCAACCAATTCTTACATCTTCCCAAGATCACAATGTTGCCATTTTTCGCCAGGACTGTGGATGACCAAGTTCGATGTTGCCAACACCTACCTACACATTTCCATAGCGGAGTCATCCCTCCTCTATCTACATTTTGTGCACAAGGGTCAGTTACTGCAGTTCAAGGCTCTGCCCTTCAGACTAACATTGGCACTATATGTGTTCTGCAGAATCATAAAAGTTTTTTCTCATCACCTCCATTCTCTAGATCTCTGCACACACCATTATATGGACGACTGGTTATTTCTAGCACCATCTTGTCAGTTGGAGGCACATCACACCCAAATTATTCTTTCAGAAGCCACCAAGGCAGGTTTTATTATCAGAGTCGAGAAATCTATTCTCATTCCAACACAATATATCATCCGTCTAGGTGTTTTTTCCAATATGTATCTCAGATGGGGTCAGCTGACCCCCATCCAGCTCCATGCTATGGAACAGGCAGTCTGACTCTTACTCACATCTCTTTCTCCCACTGTGCAGATGGCTCTTTCTCTTTTGGGGATGTGAGCATCAGTAAAATCCCTCATTTCTTTGGGATGAGCACACATGAGATCCTTTCAGTGGTCACTGCATAACTAATGGATAATGAACAGCAATCCACTGGATTAACCAGTCACCTTATTCAGGATCAACATCTTAGATTTCAAGTGTTGGTTAGATAGGAACAATACCATGATAGGTGTTCCTCTACCGTCACCTTGTCCCGAGATCCATCTCTTCACAGATGTCTCACTTCAGGGATGGGGTACATATATCAACAGCCAGAAATTCCAGGGCCTATGGACTGATGACAAAGCTTCCTTCTACATCAATGTTTTAGAACTTTTTGCTCTTCAAAGGGCAATGTCTCAAGGGGAAAAATCATCGTGCTTCACACCGACAATTCCACAGTGGTGTCTGTCTTACATTTTCCATCAGGGGGGCACTCGGTCATGAGATCTTTGTTTTCGAACCTACTAGCTTGCCATGTTCTAAGGGTGATGAATTTAATAGCAGATCATTTATCTCAACCAAACTGTATCCTCCTAACCAAATGGATGCTACATTGAGAGGTTTTCCATTGGATTTGCTCTCAGGTCGGGACACCGATGATTACTGTAAGTGCCACTCATTGGACCACTCAACTACAGAAATTTTGGTCCCAGTTACCTCAGCCTTGGAAATTGGCAATAGATACATTCAATCAGGACTGGACAGGATTGCACTTATATGCCTACCCACCAATTTGTTTGGCTATGGTTTGGTCAACCCTTGTTGTGTGCTGTTGGTAGCACTAGATTGGCCTGACCAATTGGCCAGTGTACTCTGGCCTTTGTCCCAAAATACATTTTCAATTACCTAACTTAGATATTAATTAAGGGGATATTACATGTGTTTGAACCCTTAGCCTCACTTACCATGTATCACCTTTCCCTTAATATTTATTTTTTGTTGCTGCTGGCCTGTGGACATTGCCAGTTGGAGTTGTTTGCGCTGCATGTGCAAAGGACTCTTTATCATGATACCTACGTCCTTCTATACCCAGACAGGTCCCTCCTATCTAAGACACTGGCAGCCAGGGAAGGGGATAAATCCTTCTCTCCAATTCATGTGATTGCTGTTTCTCACATGTATGACTGCTTGGATCCTGATTGCTTGTTATGTTCAGTTAGGGCCCTGAAGTGTTATGTGGCTCAACCTAACTCTTTTAGAGGTGATAGACATCGACTTTTTATTCATTGGGACCCTTCAGCTTCCTGTGATTTATCTTCGATTACCTTGATGAGATGAGATTGATCCATGTTGCTTATTCTGGGCTTTCTTTGAAGGCGAGGAGACTTCTGTGAGTCATGTCTCATCAGATTCGTCACATTTCTATGTCCTTAGCAGTCTGGTTGAATTGTCCGCTGTAGGCTGATATATGGCTTTTATCTCACATTATCTGGCAGTATCTTCCTATGAGGGTTTTTGTAGCTGTCTTGACTACATCAGCTAGATTATAGAAAGAAGTAAGTATTTTTATTGCTCCTCTTGTATCTTCTTTACTTACCTCTTTTTTTCACTTGATCCCATTCTGTGGCAAGTGTTGACCAGGCAGGTGTGCTTTATCAACCAAATTCTCCACTAGCAACCACTAACACAATAAACTTTATCTACATTGCAACAGGCTCTGTCAAAATGAGGTGTTCCATAAGACCACCTAGAGGCAGACCGGGTCGTATTAATGTACCATACTGGACCGCCACTCATGGATTATCAGGAGTAAAGCATCACGTGATCCTGCCCCTCCCTGCAGATCTTTGGATTGAATAAATTGGGGTCAGTTTGGTTTTTAAAATTTAGGTAACTTGGTTTAGCTATTGCACTGTTTCCAGAGCATTGTTCCTCGGGGCTCCCCATCATGCATTACCTCCCAGATTCTACTAGTGGAGCTAGGGAGTGCTTACCACACCCAGTTTCCAGTCACTAGGGTGGTGGACAGAGGCTTTTCCTCCAGAGTGTTAGAGTGAATTTTCCCCACTCTTGGAGAAGAGGGCAAAGTTTAGGGCCCTCCTATCTGAGTCCCTGGATGTTTTGTTCCCAGAAGTCGGTAGGAGAGATGTAAGCCTACACAGGAGACTAATCATAATACTGATTCAGATTTGACTATCGGCTGTACACTTGGGTTGAACGTGGCCCTTCTTTTTGGTCAGTATTGGTTCAGTACATTGTTTGTGAAAGAGGGCCATTGTCTCCTTGTAATTCCAAATGCACTGTGGTCCCATCCTGGTCCATGGTTGAGCACAATTTGTTCCACATCCTCCCCATAATTCCAGAGACAAGAAGAATTTATCTTGCTCTCTTGGTTGGGGAGTGAAGATGGGTGTTCATAATTCCAGACCTGATGAGTTCTGTTTTCTCAAGTTGAGTATGGCATACAAGATTCCATCATTTCAAGCCTGGGGTGTTGCCTTTCTGACTTCTTCAGGTTGAGGACAAGGTTTGTCCACTTTGGTGTTGCTTACCTTCTCTTTGGGATTCCAGTGGCTCAGAACTTATCACTCTATGGCTACAGGTTGGGATAAACTCTTAAGTGTATATATATTGTGGTCCAATTGCCCTAGCCACCAATATAGGATATAGGGACCATGGCCCTATAATTCCAATCCTGAGCAGTGGACCCTCAGCTATCTGGTTGGGGTTTGGCCAGTGGTGATGATAAATCATGTAAAATTCCACCTACTGTACATGAATTAAATTCTGGGTGAAGAGAATACCTGGTCTGGATGTAGTACAGTTCTCCCACTGGGGTGCCAATCTTCTATTGACACACCCATGATCTATGCAGACACGTTCTGTATGGATAATGCCCTCACTGGACCCTCCACTTTATCAATGTGGGATTCTTAAATGGAAAATGTATTTCCAAAAATACATAACTACTCTCACACTCTCCTGTCTTCCCTCCCCACTAAGGGCCAGTGTTAGAGACTGTAGATTGAGTCAGTCTCAAAAAAGTGATAACATTATCTGAATAGGTGCTTATATCCAGTACCAGGATAGAGGGCGCATCAACATAGGTGGAGAGCATCACAAGACAAATATCACCAAGGGCAATTAAGTGGGGTATAAAAGACTGGAGCATGCGAGAAAAAATCAGACCAATGCTTAGATGGGCAAAGAAAGAAACTCTGGCAGTCGAGTAATAGCTGTAGCGTGAGAGGAGGTAAGTATTATTGGAAATACATTTTTGATCTAAGAGAATGTTATCTTTTGTATCTGCAAAATGTTAAAAAAACATCTTATTTGTGATAATGTAACTTAGATAATCTAAGTGGTTTCTAAAAACTGAAAAATGTTACAAGGGAATGAATTAAATAATTTCCTTCAAAAAATATCATTTAATAGAAACATTTCATTGCTGATGAAAATATTTGTTGTGTTTATTATTAATTAGAATATTGTGTGATGAACAGTTGAGTTTAAACAGTAAAGTAAAGTAAGAAGTCAAATATAGTTCTTAACACCATGTTTAACTTATTTTTTGGTTGTACAGTAATGGCAGTTGGATGTCCCCAAGCCACAGCTGTTTACAAGGTATCAGACTACAGTCGACATTCTGGGGTTCCCATAATTGCACATGAAAATATTTGTTGTGTGTATTATTAATTAGAATATTGTGTGATGAACAGTTGAGTTTAAACAGTAAAGTAAAGTAAGAAGTCAAATATAGTTCTTAACACCATGTTTAACTTATTTTTTGGTTGTACAGTAATGGCAGTTGGACGACCCCAAGCCACGGCTGTTTACAAGGTATCAGACTACAGTCGACATTCTGGGGTTCCCATAATTGCAGATGGGGGAATACGTTCTGTTGGTCACATCATCAAAGCACTGAGTTTGGGTGCATCTACAGGTAATGTTATGCTTTGTTGCAATTAGAGAAACGTAGTTCCTACAATATCGAGTATACTAAGCTGTTTGGACAGGAGATATGTAGATTTAGAAACATGGTAATAATTTTTTAACATTTCTCAAATATGATTTCAAACTATGCTAGACAGACAGACTCCTGCTTTGTGAAATTTACATATACATTTCAAAATAATTTATTTCTCTATCTTTTTTTCTTGCCAAAATGGATCTGTTGTTGAAATGCACAAATAAAGCAAAAAAGGCTTAAAAAACTGCTGTTAAGTGATACAACCACATCTGATTGATAAATGGTATTGCCACCAAAATTTTTTTTAGCAGTCTGCTTCTGAATTGGAGGAGCTTTTCCAGGTTTTAAGTTTTTTAGTTGAAAAAAGTGTAATAAAAAATCAATGAATTTAACTGCTTGATTTTTTTTGTTAAGAATGTTGATGTACTAAAAATAGATGGGAAAATTTAACTATAAATAATTGGTTCCTGAACTCTTATTGACTGGATCCCACCTTTAAACACAAGATAAATACCTGTTGCATAAATCAATAGACCTTTGATACATCTGCATGTGGACAAAATGTAAGAGGCAACCTTGAGGACTCTGCTCTTCAAACAATTTCTCATTCAAGCTTCTCAGTAGCTACAACTGATTTTTTTGAAATTTAATACTAAAATCTTGCTTATTAGTTGTCATAAAATCCACTCACATACATGCAAGTAAAAGCTCCCAAAAATGTTTACTTCAGTATGTTTATATACTTACGTTATGGTTGCAAGGTGTTTTGATTAGAATAAATTTTTAGCATAAGTTACCTGTGACAATAGCCAAGTAAACTTTTAGAATACACTTAGCTGTAACAATAGCTAAGTAAAGTTTAGCGTAGGCTTAGCTGTAACAATAGCCAAGTAAACTTTTAGAATACACTTAGCTGTAACAATAGCTAAGTAAAGTTTAGCATAGGCTTAGCTGTAACAATAGCTAAGTAAAGTTTAGCATAGGCTTAGCTGTAACAATAGCTAAGTAAAGTTTAGCATAGGCTTAGCTGTAACAATAGCTAAGTAAAGTTTAGCATAGGCTTAGCTGTAACAATAGCCAAGTAAACTTTTAGCATAGGCATAGCTGACATAATAGCCAAGTAAACTTTTAGCATACACTTAGCTGTAACAATAGCCAAGTAAACTTTTAGCATAGGCATAGCTGATATAATAGCCAAGTAAACTTTTAGCATAGGCTTAGCTGTAACAATAGCCAAAAAGATGTTTCTTATGGAATCTACTGGAATTAAATAGTTGTATGAGGAAAATCTGGCATTATATATTTTAAAAGTCATTCTGCTTGATTTCAATAGTAAAAACAACTCTGCTTTTACTGGACTCACCATTTTTTTTCCAGTCTGGATCCAGCCATTGTTTATTTGCTAAGTGATAACAACTATATCTGTTAATTAAATGTTGTCTGTTCACTAAGTAACATCTGTGAGTTGGTAGAGCTGTATATGTTTAAGACATACAGCTGCACCTGTTAATTAAATGATACAGTCACATCTGTTTGCTAAGTGATACAGATGTATTTGCTCGTTAAGTGAAACATAGCCACATCTGTTTGCTAAGTGATACAGATGTATTTGCTCGTTAAGTGAAACATAGCCACATCTGTTTGCTAAGTGATACAGATGTATTTGCTCGTTAAGTGAAACATAGTCACATCTGTTTGCTAAGTGATACAGATGTATTTG